CTCCATCCGCTTAGATGGAGAAACAATGAAAGCCGTAATTAAAATTTACTGAAGCCAAATCAATATCGGCCCATCTCAGAAATTTAATTAAACGGACTTATATTATTTGAACATCAGTCCAATCAATAGAAAAAGAAAACTTGAAGTATATGATTACTTCAAATTATTTTCATGAAATTTTATAATAATACAATATTTCATTTATTTTTTGGTTTAGATAATGATATTTTTTAATACTCATAGCAGCTGTTTGAGAATGATCTCCGAATTATGTTTTATGCAGTGAATCATCATCATATGTGAGTTGCTGATCAAAATCTCGCATAGTATTTTATGTGATTTTTAGATAATCTACTCGCATGTTAAAGAGCATATTATTTTCCACATGTATCTGCTTGTAGGGGATCGAACTGCAATATTAATCATATTTTGAACCCTGACTTTTTCCCAAAAAAATTGCATACACATACGATCACACGCGCGCATTTTCGAATTGAGTTATATAAGATGTGTCATTTGGGGATAAAAGTACAAAGTCATGAAATACAATGAAGCAAATCCGATGCACGCGACCCCTTTCAATTTCGTCCTGGCCCCGACAAAAAAATATAATCGGTGGAATCGGGGTGGATTTCGTCCTGTGACGTAAAAAAAAATAAATAACATATCGAATGCGGCATCTTTTGTAGATATCAATTTCCTATTATATGCGGCTTTCCATGAGCCATTTAACATAAGGTTTTTATGGCTCCGGAAAAAAGATAAACTGGATTTTTGGTGCATATTTTTTTGCTCCGATTTTTGGGAAGAGATGAAGAAAAAGGGATATTTCTATATATATATTGGAAGAGAGAGAGAGACTGAGTGAGTATGGGGTGGTTCGGCGATAAGGGCACTTAAAAATTGAAACTAACCAGATCCTCGGTCGGGGTTGAAAGATTAAAAGCGATCAATCAAGAAATTTATAAAGAGGGAAAAAAATTGGAAGAGAATGGTGGTAATCTTCGTCTGGGAAAAGGGTGCGGATTGGGAACAATTAGGGCTTGTTTAAACAAACGCGAAAGCGGAATAAAGCGAATCGCATCCCCTCGACCTGATCAATCAAAACTTGTCAGGAGTCTGTATATATACATTTTTTTATAATATATAATTCCGTCTTCCACCTGGACTTAATATCTCTCTTTCGGTCGGAGGGGGCTATTAGTTTGCGGTGAAACATTTATTTAGAAGAGAAGAAAAAAACAGCACATATTTCGAGCAGATGTTGCACCGTGGATTCCAGGGGGCGGTAGAAATGAGCGCGATATTACATTTAGATTGGGGGTGAGATTGCAGAAAACTAAATTAAAAAGTTTTTTTTTGTGCTAGTGAAAGCTTATACCTGTGTTCGCGTTCTTAATTTTAATATCGAGGGAATAAATTTGGGAATACACATCTTGCGGATTTTACAACCTACGGGAACATCAATAATAACCATATTGCAATAAGAAATGTGTTGCAATTGATATTATTTATGATCGAGGTTACTAATTGGATTTGATTAAAAATTTTGTTTTCATTATTCGTGGAGGGTTGTTCAAATCTTTTGAGTCAATAATAAAGCAACTGTATCAATAATTTATTGTTAGTGGTATTTGGATATCTTTAGTTGCGCTGAACAATGGCTGTGCTTGGGGGGTATTATGTTTCTTTTATCCCGTTTTGATTTTTCGCCATAATACGCGAATGCTATATTGGATTACTAGTGGCCTAACATAATTTTATTTCTTTCTCTCTCTCTCACACTCTCTTTATCTCAGTCTGTCTTCCTGGTTTTTAGGGGTAGGTATAGTGCGTGTGCTGGATGGGAATCGAGCGAAGGGGGGTTTCGATCGGACAATGCATCTGTTATTCACCCCGTGTGTATGTACACGAGATTACCTAAGTATTTTTACAAGGGATGAAGGAGGGCAACCCTTTCCAATAATAATAAAAACACTTTGCAACTACATTGGCGCCCCCTGGATCTTAAAATTTGCAATAATGATTCATTACCGTGTAGTAGCAGAAGACTGTCTGATATTTTAATGAAGCGTGGGTTACAGCCATCCTCCGTTGTTCATCCTCCTGCTCCTTCTGAGCCTTCCGGCCATTCATTATTTGCAATGTTAAAAATTTTACTCAGCCGAAGGAAGAGAGAAGTAAAAAAAAAGTTTATATAGAATGGAATAATAAAAATATGCGACCGCTTTGGGCCTTGCGGCGTCGAGCTGTTATTGAAGTTAGTAACAGTTGAATAAGTTGAGAAGCGTGCTCTTTTGGCTGGAAAATTAAGTAATTCGTTGAAAAACAGAAAAATGCATCTTCGAAATTATACCAACAGCAAGTCCGGTAAATCAACCGACAATGAAAACAAAATAAAGTGGAGTTACAATGTTTGTTTTTTTTTTTCGAGGCGGCACGATTTAACGTCTCTTCTCGCTGCTACTGCGAGATAAAGGAATGAAAACGCTTCCGTCGAAGCTCCTTTATTTTTTACGTCCGTATTTTTTATTGCCGCCGTCCCTCGAAACACCACCGTTGAAATCTCTTTGAAAAGTCCTAAAAAAGAAGAGCAATGCACGCCTCCATTAATTTCCAGCCAATATGAAAATAACTCGCGCTTACAGAAAACAGGAACTGAAAATAAACATTCGCCAAGTTTTATTAAAACTATCATATCTTCGGCGAGGTCCGAGCTCCAGAGAGAGATAGAACGGGGAAGAAAAACTGCGCGCAGCATTAATATATAAATAAATAAAAAAAATACTTCCGGACTAGATATGGCCATGTGTCTGAAAATTATACAAACACTTTTTTCTCTTCTTTTTGGACCTCATTAAACATCCTGCTTGATAAAAGCTGATGGAGGAAGGACAAAAAAAAGCGGAAGATACTAGCCTAATTGTCTCCGGAACGTCTTCCAACTTTTATATACACACTAGTGTATGTATTTATCTTTGCGAGTTTGAGGAAATCTCGACGGGGCAATTGTAATTTCCCCAAACAAAAGCGGCCGTTTAGTCCTCGTTTTGCCTCTCCGCGCCGCCTCCGACTAATCTGATATTATGAATCTTTTACTGTCTTCGGGGAGTTTTACCTGGCCGATAAGCTTGGAAAAGTGGAGCGCGAGGGTGGATGGATGGATAATCTCTAATGCTCCTTATAATGTGATACCATTATACATACGTTCCCTTCATTCCCTTAATCAAATAAAAAAAAGTACGCTTCTCTCTCCCATCTCCATCCTCTCTTTTCTTTTTTTTTGGTTATTTTAAATTCCCGTCTCCCCGTTTTATTGCCGCCACTCTACATTCAAATCCTGAGGCCCGATTAAACGAAACACGCATCGTTACGCTTTTATTTTATTTTGTTCACTTGCTTTTCCCCATTGATTTTATACACAAGGATTTTTACAGCCTACCAAATGAGATTTTTCCTATGTGCCCTTTTTTTCTCTCTCACTCTCTTTTTCTATCTCTTTGCTCTCGTTGTGTTCCTCCGCGAATGGGGGAGAATCGCAGCCAATAACCCAACAATTTGCCGAAACCAAATTGATTCCTTTTTCATACTCACTTACATCGCAAATTTAATTTGCCAGGCAAATCGGAACAAAATATGAAATTTACGCATCGCCTAAAATAAAGGACGATTCACGTAATCAAATCCAAGCTCCGCTTTCTTCCGCGTATTTGGATCTCCTAACTGCTTCTATCTATTTACGTACAAATGAGTAATACATTCTAGTTGGATTTTTCTTAAAAATATAATTTTTTGTTGAAATTTTAAATAAGCGATATTTTTTTAAAACTAATTAATAAATTAAAGTTATTACTTTGTGTGGAATATGTTAAACCATTAAAGGTTGATTACGTATTGGAATATTAGTTGGATGGGAGGAACATACAAGTTCATATTCAAAACTTATTCTTCATAATTGCATCAGAATGAAGTTTATATACAAGCTGTTGTTGTAATGTTTCCGGATAAGATTCTACGGTGTTGAGTTTAATGTGGCGGCGTGAAAGGAAGTATAAATAAATGGGGATGTCTTCGGTGGCAATGGTTGGGGTGGTGGTGCCCAGACCAATCCCTTAATCTCACTTCCTTGCCGCTTTTTGGGCTATTATGTTGTCAGAATGATACAAACTGCCCCAATAACCGCGAGCTCTCCGTTGCCGCCGCAGCTGATAAACAATACAGCCCCGAGGGCGAGCCACCCCCGTTCTCCTATATATTACACTCGTGGTCAGCATTGATTCATGGACGTTTCAATTATTCGCGTGAATGAGGGATGAGAGAGAAAAAAAACAACAAAATAACAAATATTTCAGAGAAATGAGCGTGCAACAGAGTAGATAGAAAAAATATATAGAAACAGACAGAGATAGAGAGTGTATTGGAAAACGCGATCATTACATAATCCGTTAGAGCGAGGATGCTAAATTGAAACGCTGATTGTAAATTGTGTCCTAAGGCGAGCGATCAACTGGTACATCGATTCGTAAAATTAGAATACAAACACAATTATTGAGATTAATTTTGGACTTTTTTTTTGGTTCTCTTTCGCTCTGTTCTCTCCCAATCTCTCAGTCTGCATTAGGACCGGTCTGTTGCTGTATTACTTTTTTTTTTGGTCATCTCCGCTGGACGATGATGATGCGTCGAGAGGGGTGGGCCGGAAAAATGTATGGCTTTTAGTTCTATTGAGTTATCGAGGAAATGAAGGTAATAAATCAAAGGGGAGGGCGATTTGTCGAGTGACCGCCGACCCCGCCGCCTCCGCCACTGTTGATATCTGATATTTGCCACCGGATGGACTCTAATGGACAGACTCATCAACAAATATTAGATCGGATAGTATTTATTTCTCAGACTTCTTCATGTTATTTGTCCTTTCTCTATTTTTTCGCAGTGTGCATCGGATCCGGATCCTTGCACCGAATTGTCTCTAACCGCAGTAATTCTCTACTATTTTACAGCTCCAGACCCGGGCGACCTCCAAAGCGCGCCCCCGTCGGCTTAAGTCTAGCCGCCTCCCATCTGCAGCACCAACAAATTAAGAAACACAGACTCGACAACGGCGACTATCCTTACGAAAATGGACACATGGGTAAGCTTCAAATTTATTACCTCACTCTAAAGAAAAGACCAAAAAACAACCCTTGAACACAAACTATACATAAACACAATATTCTATGATAAAACAAGGAAAACATTTAACGCTCCTATCCATTATGCCAGGTTGGAAAGTACATGGAAATTATATGTAGAAAGTTTTGGAAGAACCGAAGTGCCATATAGCGCAGAGACGAAAAAAATGCACATATAAATAAAGCTTTCAGTTAGTAACAGCTTTTAGTGATTTATCGATTCTGAGCTCCCTTCAAGCGCCCGTCTTCTCCACTTGATAATTTTACATGTCAGCTGTCAGCGCAATCCCTAAATCGGTTTCAACTTATAATTTTTGCATATGCTACAACCCCCCATATAAAAGACAGTTTATTTAAAAAAATGTATCAAAAGGAAAATAAATCATATATTCAAGTTGTACGTACAAACCATTTTCTAACGCGAATTAAGATTAATATTAAGTAAATTGTTATGCTCCTTCTAACAATATTAAATAATATATTTCACTTACTTATACTCTTTCACAAAAACAAACAACAAATAGATATGTTAATTAAAAATTATGAAAAAAATAACTGCGTCTTAAATTTGATGTGTCTACTTTAAGACGATAATAAATTAATCTGAAAAAGTAAAATTGTGAAAATATAGTGGAAACTAATGAATTAGCAGTATTTTCTCTTCGCGCATATTAACGATTCGCGATATGCGACAGGTCTGTCAAAGTAATCATATTTTATGGCATTTAATTGGCTATAATAAATTCTGATTCGCGTTACGTCAAACCGTTGAAAATCGCCGCGTTGATTGACGCCCACAGTCTTGAACACTCAAAATGACCGAAGTTAATTTTATATAATTTCGGCCGATTACCGTAATTACAAATATTTCTGTATTTGCATACCGTTGAAACTGCTTGAATGTATACAATTTGTGCTATGATTAAAAAAAAATACTTTCCTATTTACTTTTCATAAAAGAAAAAATAATTTAAAAGTTATTAATATAATATTAATTGAAATAAATTTTGTATTTCATATAGAAAATTTCTGAAAAATAGTTTTTTTTTATATAGAAAAAAAAAAATATGTACAATTAATTACTGCATTATTTTTGGATTTATTTCACGATTCATTTACTTTAAAAAGTAAGTTGTATTTAAAATATTGGGTATAGGTGAAATCGTGCGAGGTTGTAAAAGTATAACAGATTGCTTTAAATTAATAGTAATTAATATAATATGTCGAGTTGGCTGTGCAATAACTTGCTTCAAGATAAACATGTGAAACCTGAAGTGACATTCCTTGATGGATGCATGTCTTTGGAGCAATCTGGAAATCAGCGAATTATGCATAAAATACTAATCTATTCATGTATTTAAATTACACGTATTGGTAATGCCGATGCGGAAAAAACTGGAGCACGGGAATGCGTTTAATGTCCGGAGGTTCACAATCTTTGAATGGGGAATAATGGGAATGTCGCAATGCATTCGAAATATGCGTATTGTCGTGTAGGTAAAAGGGGTTGCAGGAAATCGGTAATTAATAAAATGCTCCCTCTCCCCCTCCCATGAACATGGACATGGGGAGCGGCGGATGGTGTTCAAACAAAATTGAATATGTAATATATTCGCCAAAAATGTGTGGGTGGCTCCGCGAATTCCATAATATCGCACCTTAATTACCGATTGTGTCCAAACAAAAGGTTTAATAACTGAAATATTTGGCCACAAACTGGCCACGAACGTGCACAAACGGGCACAAACGCAAACAGTCACCAATTATTCGCGGTATTTAATACAGCGTTTCGCAAAATATCCGTACCACGAGGATGAGGAAGATGTAAACATCGGGACAATTATAAATAAAAACTCGATGATTGATTGCCGCGGTTTTACATTCGGAGTCCGCCGTTTTATTTTTCATTTCTTCTTTTTAATTTTTTTCGGTACATTCATTTACATCACCGTCTCTGTCCTCATCGCATTTTCTGGCTCTCGCTTATCCACTTTATTACTCTTTATATATTCCATGTCAGCTGCACAGATCATATCGCGAAATTGCAATTTAATATACAACAGCTCGAAACGAATGCAGTAAAATGCACATCGGCCATTTAATTGCTTTCGATCACGACATTCGAAACATCCCTTATTAAGCAATAAAAACTGGAAAAAAACAACTCCAGGGTAAAAAAGAAATGAAAATAAGAGCAGAGAATTGCAGAAGTATAATTTAATTTTGAGTTTATGACATCATGGATGGTCATAAATGCCCTTTCGCAACGATTGCGGAGAGATGTGGGGATAGTTTTTAATTAAACCGCATTGGTCAATATAAAGTTTGTTGTGAATCACGGAATCATTAAGTGTAATTGGTCGGTCTTCTAAATGGGACCTCGTAAAAACCTCGGGGCCCCAAGAAAGTGTTTATTTTATTCCCGTAATAACACTTGTCCATCGAGGTGATCCAAACGAAACCTCGTCTCTATCTCTCAATATAACGATCCGCCGGGCCGCTCCGAGAGATTAACTTATATTCACACTCTCTTAATATCAAGCATCTCGCATCATCAAGACTCACTCCCCTACTTATATGACCGACATACAACCTTATCTCCATCGGATATTACAGAAGAAGACGAAAGAGAAGATGAAGAAGGAAAAAGTTGCGTTTATCGTTTGCAGGGATTCGCAGGGTCCTAAAGTACAGTTGTAAAAGTATAATTAGAACTGGCCGATCGAATTTGATTATTAATAAAATCAAGGGAGAATGCTCACTTAAAGGCCTGTATACATTAATGGGTTCAATAGCGGAATGCCGCCTCTTTATATATTTATATATTTCTGTAATTATCTGAGGAATTCTCTCTGTCGCCCCCAATAAAATTCGCCAATAAAAGCCCGTTTAATTGCCAACGGCTTGATGGCCCATAAAATATTCTTAAAATTAAATGCCAATATACTAAGATCAGCAGAACTAAATATTATACAAGCCTAAACCTTGCACCATTACCATCATTTATATCTACTTTAATTAAACAGATGAATCACATATAAAATGATTATTTTGCATTATTTGTTTATTACATTTTTGGTATAAATCGCTAACATTTAAAGTCAAATTATACGATACGCTTTATCTTCAATGATCAGTAACAGTGACTGTGATAATATATCATAACGGTTGTCAATCGCTGCGATTTTATTGGGCTATTACACAGGAATTACAGATGTACCTAATGTGCACTTCTTGCGTACAATTTGCAATAAAAGCGAATGCAAGTTACAATTGCACATACATTTTGATTTGATACCCTTACAAAGCTAGTAATCTGGATATTTTTGTTTGTCGGTATATGTGAAATGTTGCATCTATCAAATATTTTACTCTGTCATTTTCAAAGTGGTTTTGTATAAGTTACAGGAGACATGCAATGTACAGAAATGTGAATTTTGAAATGTATTGAAAATGATCATATCACTGAATTAAGTTTGATTGTAATTATCATTGAGTATAGATGGATGTAATAAAATAAAATATAGAATGCATTTAATGGCAGAGAATGGGGAATCAAAATATTGAGATCGTCCTCATTTGTCATTGTCCATTGTGACAGGTTAGGTCAGTGTGGATGGTGTGGGAGAGGAGAAAAGAGTGAATGAGAGAGTATAAAATAAAGCTTGACGAGAGGATGAAAGAGAGTCAAAAATTGTATGTATAAATTTGTTTCTGTATATAATTAAGTTGTTGGGATAAGAAATTGAATTGGAAACAATTTCGTGTCGGGTGTTTTAAATTTAGCTGATGCGAAATGCAGATGGAGATGAGGCGAGAGCGAGTCGAAGAAGAGGAGGAAGAAGAGAGGCCAGGCCGTGGAACTTTTAATGTATTATCCACGGTGCATTTGATGATGACCGCGCGCCGCTCCGCTCGTTCTTGCGGAGTGACCAGACAGAAAGAAAAACAGACGGACGGAATAATAAAAATCATGGACCGCTCTTCAAACAGTGACAACCGGTAATTAGAACCTGAGCATTAGGATGATATAACGCATACCGAGAGCGGCGGATTCAATTCATTTCGCCTCCTCCTCCCGACGAGTCAAGAGTGGAGAGTCAAGGAGTTGAAGAGTCGAGGAAAAGGAGGATAAATACAATAAAATAATAAAAGAAGAAACACCGAAAAAAAGCCGAGGACGAGAAAATTCCGGGGTGAAAAAAAAAGAAAAAAGATTCGCACGAGGAGTTGCGCGCATTTATAGTCGCGCTTCCTTTTTGCTTTTAACGATCGCTTTTAATTATTATTGGGTCCCTCTTTTTACAGTCCAGTCTACGTAGAGGATGTCATCGTTTTATTTCCACTTATTTATTGTGTCATAAACGGCTGTAAAAATGGGCGTTTTCTGATTGGTTCACTGGAACTGACCATAACTTCAAAAATGAAGAAGAAAAAACTAAAAGCTAATTTTGAGATTAATATTTTTCGTTCCCTCTCTCCTAGTTTTTTTTGGTATTTTTATTTGTTGGGTTGATGGACTCCACCGCCCCCTGAAAGCCACCCTATCTGCAATTGTAACACGATACTTCATATCATTCTGTTTACTTTTCATATTCGAATGCACAAAGCGAATGCACTCCAACAGACCAAGCAAATACTCGACGCACGCACGCATACGTACATACACACAGAACCCTCCCCCATTTCAATTTCATTCCGCATTCGGAATTTATTTTATTTGCAAAAATCTTATATCCCTTTTCGGTAACAATAGCCCGGTCACATCCCATCATAGTGGTCGCAGTTAAATACAATGCAATTTCATATCGGTGCAGTCCATATTCCCTCCTCCTCGCCCATTATACCCCACAATGGGAGAACGCAAACATAAAGAGGAACATGATATCCTTTCCGTTTCGATAGCTTCGAATCCAATCGCATGGAAGCACCATGTATATAATAAACTTCAATGTTTTAAATGCGAACTATAAAGGAAAACAACTTGGACAAACGAGAATTAATTGTTGTTGCGAAATAACTAGGTGCAAATTGTATACAGTAAAAGTAGGTGTTTGGTGTAATTAGTGTGTTTTCTTATATAGCAATTATTAAAATGGTTATACAATCGGAATAACTTAAGTAAATTATAAAGTTTTATTAATTTAATGTAAAAAAAAGGAACAACTCTATTCGCGTAAACAATTCATTACGTAAGAAGCGAACGGAAAGAAACACAAGAACAGGCATTTTTTGTTGGATACAACGCAATGCCAGGAAATAATAATTGATTGTGCAACGATTCTACTGAGATTGTTATGGGTATTCTCGGGGTGGGTAATTTGTGGACAATTAGATTGTATTCAATGGAGATGAATGTGTCTGCAGAAAATATCGAAACGTCGGGACCAATTTTCGAATTAGACGGTAATTATTCGTGTAATGGCTTTTCAATTTATTGGTTTTTTGAAAAGGAATCGAAGAGTGGAAAAAATGGATGAGAAGAAAGGACGGAGGAAGAGAATCGAAGATGTGTTCAGTGTTAAACGATAAATTTTATAAACAATAATTTAGTGTGGGTCTCATGGAATAATAGCTTGAATTATTTTGAAATTGCTATAATCACTGAGCGTGTAGAGAAAGAGAGAGAGAGAGAAGATAAGTGCGGCCAAACTGGAAACAGATCTTTTTGAAAAGAAGGGATCACTGTAAATTGCTTTCGTTTTATTCCTTCCTTTTTATTTGCCGTTTGGCCTGAGGTGGTCAGATGGATAGAAAGAAATGAAGACGGACGAGAGCGGAACCGAAGAAACGAAAGAGAGTGAGAGCAGAGGGAGAAAAGAGAAGAAAAGCCGCTTGTCATTCCCATAACAATTTTGTGACTATTCATTAATAATTAGCCGGATTGCTATGATTCAGGGGCATCGGTTAAGTGTAGGGTTTGTGGTTTTTGGTCACTGGGTTAACCAACCATTAGTGTAATTTATATCACGCCAAGTCCAGACCGCATTCCACGTTTCCTCCAAGCATTGCAACCGTCGTCGTTGTTCAAGCACTCAGCAACCACCCAACCTCCTCACCATTTCTCTACCTTCTTCTTCGGCGCTTCCTTCTGTTCCTTCCTTTCTTCAGAAAGATTTCGTGGATTCGGTATGCATTTCCATATATATGCGATATTTATGCGCATTTTCCTAACATAACTGCCGACTAATTGCGAATTCTCACATTTCCTTGCTTGGATATTATTAATATCTGGCATGCGATGCGTATGAGTAATTACCCCGCACTATGTCTGCACCTACACCACGGACAACCACTCGTTTCCCTACACACAAACACGTACATACACATATGCATGGACGTACGCGATGAGAGCAATTAAATATATGAAAACGAGTATAGCAGAAAGAGAGAGAAAGCAACGCATATACACAGGAAACGCGTTTATATCGATCCTCAGCATCTACTCAGATATCCAGACGACATAATTGAATGCGGAAAACTTATATTTTATGCACAAGAAACGAAACAAAAACAAACACGTAAACATCTCGTGTATGTCCAAAGAATGTTTCACTTTTTATTATTAAATGTAGCAAGATTTGATGATTGTCCAAAGCTTGTCCATCGGTAATCGAATTTCAGTATTTTATCTTTGTGTCTTGTATTAACTAAATATATTTTAAGTAAATAATATATGCAATGAAGTATATTACAACATAAATACATTTGAAATTGTGTATATCATTATAAATATTCGTTATGGTTGAATATGTACACAGAGTGCACGAAATTTGTTTTGTAGTTAAGCTATTTTAACTAATGTAACTAAAAATGAACAAAATGAAAGTAACGATTAAAACAATAAATTGTTAAATGGTGTTCGCGAATTAGGCAGCTTTACAATTGTCTGTGGTCGATAAACCAGGTAAATTGAACAAATAATTCGTGTGTAATTAGGCTCGCGGTAATTATTTCTGTTAATGAGGGTGGTGTGGGAACGGAGTGACCCCCCGGGGGGCTCGGAACCCCGGCGTGCTCCAAATCGCCTCTCACAAATACACATAAATATTGGCCACTCACGGAACTAATGAGACCAATAACTTTTTTAAAAAAACATTTGTTTCCGTTGATGTGAGAAGAAGGGATTCAGCTTATGGGTCCAGTTCTATGGGTGGAAGGAAGGGAATTCGTATTTGTAAGCGGGGGTTTAGACGGTAATTACGGCCGTTTTGTATATTAAAGGCCACACAGATATAAGCGAAGACGCGGAGTGATTAGGGATGAGGAATGGTGGTCCATCAATCACACCCCTGTCATTTTATTTTCGCGTCTTTCGGTCCGTGTGCGGATCTGCATGAGAGGAGATTAGCCTTACTCTCTCTCTCTCTTTGCTCCTCCGTCCGGCCTCCCCCTCAATCTGTTTATCATCGCTCTATGTATGTATGTACTAACTATAAATGGAATTAAAACTGGATGGTTGTTGCAGATATGTCGCGGATGGAGAAGTCACCCCTTCTGGCTAACGGATACAATCATCCCCCGCATCTAGGTCACATGCAGTTCATGCAGTTGCCGCATCCGACGGCCGCCCACTCAGCCCTCCTGTCTCCGGCGATGCCCCACAACCTGGCCAGACCCGATGGATCGGTGATCAAGAACCAAGGAATGCCCACGATGGAAGCGTTCGCAAGGTACGTAAAACAACATAAACAACAACAACAAAAGCAACAGCAAAGGCGTAATACAGCCTCAACCTCGTAATCTCAGTCATTCTCTATGTACACCCGTTCAACTCAAAGTTAAACCGGGACGTTCAACGGGCGAGAACTCTAATCCCCTGGAAGGTATTAAATATCGCGCGCCGCTCGGGGAAACTTTGCGAAATCTTTGAACTCCGCCGTGTCTAAATCTAGCCGTCCGGATTATGGGAATACCTACCTACCTTCCTTCCTCGGAGGCGGCGAATAAATTAATACCGTTCCAATGATAATCCTCCGTTTGTCGGTTCGATTGGTCCACGGGGGAGGTCATGGGATGGGTTCGTAGGTAGGTACGAACCGGGTACTGGGTTTCCAGAGGATGTGAAGTGAGTTTACCTGGAGAATTAATCACGGCGCTCCGTGACGTGTACACGCATCCAGCGGCCCGGATTTGCATTTTAATTACGAAAGAGCGCGCTGAAATGATAATGATGACTTGAACAACGGTGTAAACAAGTAGACGAGTGCGCTCGCCATGCCTAACTGGGATTAGTGTGCGAGCAGGCTCATCGGGTCTCCTCTCCTCTCATACCCACAAACACTCCTCACTACTTCGCATCCACGATGCAGGAGATAGATAAATACAAACTTTTTGATATAAATATACTATCTGAGGGACTTCCGAATGGGCATGAACGAACTTCGATCTCTTCCCTAAGAGGCTTAGATGCGAATTTGGTGTTGCTGAAGTTGAGGGTCGTTAGCAATCCAATTAATTTCCTATTCCTTACAGGTCCGGCATTTGGGAAAACTGCAGAGCCGCCTACGAGGATATCGTCAAACACTTAGAAAGGTAATTTGTTTTTCCATATTTATTATCTTCATTAATTATAAAATGCAATCTTTTAGATTTGAACATTCAGTAAATAAGATCAATTAATGAAATTTAATGTCCAATGTGAGTTTTCATCTATATATACAACAAAAATGTAAAACTCATTGCAATCAGATATTTAATTACAGTCCAATAAATTAATTACTTTTGCCAAATTTACTTGAAAGAAATAGCAATAACAACTAAACTTTACTTCAGTTCCTCTGGCGGTTTACAAAGGATCAGAATGTTTAGTGGTTGGGCGAGAATGGCTTTTCGAAAGTAATTAATGTATTGCGACAATTTGGATCCGAAGCGACAAATCAAAATTAACCGGGGCTCCAGGAAGCGGTGTCAGTATTTGTCAAGTGTCGGGCGGTTTAAGCTCGACAGGGTGGGGTTGGGATTTAAAGCTCGCCGCCATGATTTGTGTGACACGCGATAGTTCCACCGCGGGCTCAGGGCCTGAATAATCGGGTGTCACGTCGAATCCCATACGCACACGGCCCTGCACTCCTCGCACGATCATCCCCGAAAAACCAGGAAAAATTAAAAATAATTACACCCCCTTCACAAGCATTTCCATTTATAATGTTACTTTTACTTCTTAAGATTTAAGCGCGCAAGGGCGTATGTGTAAAAAATAAATAAAAATGGAGCTCATCGTTGTCTCGCTTTTTTTTATGGTAATGTTGCGGAGCTCATAAAAAAGGTTCCCTCGCCTTTAAAGCCCCGTGACAGATCCTCTCGTCGCATTTGGATCCGAAACTGAGTTAGTCATTTGTCAGGGTCGCAGCTGGATCTACAAGACGCGCGGCTTTTTAATTCAGTTTATTGGGAACATCGCGACAGACATTTTAAAAATCATCAGCGTGTTTAGGGGAAGAAGCAAAATATATATATATACATAAGGGAAGGAAGGGAGAATAAAAAAAAAGAAATAAATGTGTATGAAATTGTGTAGAGTCAACCGCGTGTCTCGGTATGGAAACACGCGCGCAATTCTTTTCCCCTCGGCGAGAACCATTTACATGAAAAATTGGATTATTGTTGTATTAAGGGAAACAAAATGCGGGGGATGGCAACGTGGTGTTTCTGTGAGGCTTTTCGCGAATCATAATTAATGATAAGATTTCGGCGTGCCGTTCCGGGGGTCGGGGGGATGATTTCGGTTTGGTTTGGTGACTAGCATATATTTGAATAGGACGGATGGACGGACTGTGTCTGCAGGCTGATAAGGCAGCAACGATAATTAATCTTAATACAGGCATTCTTGGATTGTTCCGCTTATCGCGCGTAATATATCTGTTAATTAACTATGCAGCTTTAAAACTCACTATATGTCAATATTGAATTACAGTCCCACAATGCATCCAATTTATTTCCACATTGATTTATCCCCCGATAAAGGTAACCTTTATCAAATAAATAAAACCAGTCTGCAAAGCGGAGACGGCGCGAACCCGTCGAAGATATAGGTAGTTAAGTAAGCGGGACGACGGAGTCGGTGGAGGGAGAAGAATTAAGGTATCATTCATCAAAATTTCTGGTTCTTATCGTTGGCCCTGGTCGTGTTTAGGAATTATTAATATTCATAAACACACAGCTGATCTAAGAATAAGGAGCAGAGAAAAGGGTGGAAGGTCCTTCCTTCCCTCCTTTCGCTTCAACCTTCATCCTACGCCACCCTTCGCCCTCCGCAACGGACTAATTGCTAAAGTCTGCGATGTGACGAGTATTAATTAATTTTCGTCGGGTTTGCGCGCGCGACGGACCTTAATTCGAATTTAAATCGGCCAGTGTTTTGTTAAATCCTTGCTGTTAATTGTGTGGACAGCTACCAGGAGCGTGAATGCTGCTACGCCAGATTTGCATCCAGTCATTTATAAACGGCGAAACCCGGTTAATTTAAACGCACGGGGAAACCGACCTTCCGACGTCCCGCCTGAATCTACACCGCCTCAACCACCCCCACACACATACACTCTTCGAACCCTCGGATCAAACCGCTCCCCATGCGAATGCGATTTTTCCATTCCGACTGGCCTCTAATTTAGAAGGGTCACCACCCTGAACGATTGTCCAATTCCATTTTCGTGCATGTGAGAAATTGCTTTTTAAGACACTCACATTGACTGACGCTGATTCTAACCAGTTCCGAACTGACAGACTACAGCAATACAGGAGTATTCATTCAATCCGTAAACTGAATTTTATTTTTCGTTTAACTTTTATTTCACATCTTTAAAATCACATCATATATAGTTTATTTTTTAAATTGAAATACTCCAACCTCCATTAGGTTCTTGATTGCTTATGAAAGATATCATAAAATTATATTAAACTTTTAGCTGGATACAATTTTCATTAATTACCATTTGTGAATTTTATTAATTATGAAATAAATTCTTAAACTATTAACAAATTAACTATTTAATAAAGAGGTAACGTTACAAAAATGATGATATCATCATTTCAATCCATCTTAAAAAAAAAATAAATGTTATCGTAATTTTTATCGATGTCGATAAAAGTTAACGGTAGGTTGAAAACAACGATGTTTTTAATTTAAAATAATTTTGATTGGTTTCATGCCTATGAATCTAAATGAGGCCCAATTATAATTGACTTTTGGCTACCTGCTTTTGTGTTCGTTACAACGGATCACGTTATTTATTTCGGATTTATTAAAAACGATCAGACATTATTAATAAACCAATAAACGCTATTGCGAATTTATTTTGCTACATAAAGTTCAAAATTAGAATATCTAAATAAATGTTATCTGTTTGTTTTCGATTTTTTTAAATAAATAATTTATAAATGTTTTGGAAAACATAAAATAAAATATATTGGATTTGGTTATGAACTGTTAGAGATTGTGACTATTGCTATATAACATTTTTAGTTTTATCTTAATTAAAGATGAATATGTTAGAGCATAATTATAGGAATCATCAAAGAAGATCGGTAATTAAATCATTTGTATTTGGTAGAAAATGTGCGTGCGTGTAATTAAAATAAGAATTATGAGGGGCTTACGCTTTTCTTCCCTTCTTTAATCGTTTCGGCGATTGCATTAAAAGATAAATTAGTGTTTGCATTTGAATACATTTAAATATTTGTTCGGCTGCTTAGTATTCGCTAATTGACGAGGAATTAAATTAATAATTTTCGTTGCGTTTGGGATGCGAGGTGATGTATTTATGAGGTAGGCGTGATTTTGTAATTAAGTTTCACGGACTGAAAAAAACCAACAGAAACGGACGCAGAGCCACGACCGAACAAGAGGAGAAAGCGAACAAACTGTGTTTGTGTAGAAGTGAGAGAGAGAGATAGAGAGAGAGAAAGAGAGATGAGACGAAGGACTAAACAACAAAATAGAAAGAAAAAGAAAAGGCAGGATTACATTGTGGAAGCAATAATAATCACGGAAAAATAAATAATCTAACGAGCCTAACACGTCCATAATTTATCGGCTCGCAATTATGGGCCTTGTCTTTATTTGTGTTTTAATTATTTTTAATGCAAACACAAAACATAAATTGATCCAGCCGCATTCGTACACGCAACCGCCGCCTTTCGAAGGAGAGGATGAGTTGATGCCAGCCGATCTGATTATTTCGGCTCTCGCACTTTCGCCAGATTCGCTAATTAATTTGCAATTATGAACAGGCTGATTGCTAAAACGAAAATCTCCTGTTATACTGTAATTACGTGTATTGCGTATAGTTTATTGTTTAATCAACTGAACATATGAGACGCTTATTGTTACTGGTTTTTATTTAGAGACTCATAAGATTGTAAAATATAGTAATTTCTTTGTGGACGATCATTTTCATTTGCAAACTATTTATTTTGATATTCTTAATTTAGGAAATATTGCAACAATCATTAAAAAAATAGATCATACTTATCAATTAATTACATATTCAAGTGTGAAGTACGAAAGATATTTTTGGGCAATACTCGAATTCTTAAATTTTCAACATTAACAATATTGTTTTCTTAATAATATTTAAACGGATTTAAATAGGGAATTACTATGTGCGTGTTTATTATTCCGAAAGATGCGACAAATCTGATTACGATTTAGACGTTTGGCGTCATTAAAAGGCGTGCAAAGTTTTATGTCTTCGAAGAAGAGGGAGGGTGCTTGGTTGCACATAGCCAGTTTTTGAAATGTAAATCCCCGCTTTCGTCGGGTGACAAATTGCAATTCCGTATTACGTATTCCGTCGAGGAGACCCAATTTAAAATCTTCTCTCGCTCTTCGCGGCGCTGCAAGGAAACTAATCGCATACACCTTAAAAATAAAAAGGACCCCGACCAGGCGAAATCATATTTCCGTTCACGTTTCCATTATTAACTTTCCCTCCGAGGGAATGATATTTTTCTATATTCAAATCGTCCTCTCCTTGCTCGAAAACTCCAACCGTTCTTGGTGGAGGATGAAAATAAGGAGGTGGAGGAAGGCCATTACCATCTAAACCGCGAATCGTTTGTCACCCGGACGCCGGGTATTCCCAAAACTTTGGGGGAGGAAGATTTTCGTGCCACGCGCCCATAAAATCGCACCAATTCCATCGTTATTAATTCTGGGACACGGCTCTAATAGAAAACGCTCCGTGCGATATAAATCTGTCGCAACTTCTGATATTCCCTATTGTCTCCATTGTGGCCACTTGATTGGATTATATATTTTACACCTGTCAGCGCTAATATTCCGCACCGCACCGCAAAAACACAAAATTCACTGCGCCCTCGCACTCAATTCTAACCCATAAGATTTATCACCACACAATCAAATATTATAAAGAGATTTATTGCCTCTTCGCACCAACAATTTATTGTCTTTTACAATATCACATTATTTCGTGTGGTGTTGCTTCACCTACTTTCAGCCACAAACTAATTACTTTACTTCCCCACACATTTTCTAATAATACACAACAACTATAATACATTGATTTGGATTC